AATACCAAACAACATTAACTAAGTTAACGTTTCACTTTCTCAAAACAAATAAGTTGAATTAACAATGGTTATTTCCATTCTTATGTCGACACGATATATTCCGGTGAGTTTGAGATAAAAGATACCACAGAGTCTGACATATCTGTTTCATATTTGGATATTTTATTAGAAAAAGACGTCAATGGTAATCTAACAACGAAGCTTTATGATAAACGTGATAACTTTAACTTTTCAATCGTCAACTTCCCTTACTTATGCAGCAATATACCCTTATTACCTGCATACGGATTTATATCTCTCAGTTAATTCGATACGCCAGAGCATGCTCTACGTATGAACAATTTCTAAAACGAGGTAAGTTATTGACAAACAAGTTGATGAAACAAGAATATCAGCAGTCTCCTTTAAAGACATCATTTCGTAAGTTCTATGGTCGATACAATGACCTTGTCAGCAAATACAGTCTTTCATTAAGTCAAATGCTGACTGACTTTTTTCATACTAATTGTTAGGCCATTATTTACACACTGAATTGTCGACGGATTTTTCCGTTATTTCCCGATCATGACAAGGAGCACACGGCGGGTGTGACTGGTCGGCAGGGGATGCCCACTCCTCCATGGCACCTGATCCCACCTCTGATGTCTTAGAGGTCTCGTGTTTGCTCTGCTCCTATTTTGTAATGTTCAATGGACTTTTGAGTTCGAATACTGTTCGTTATCTCCACATATTTCATTGAAGTTACATTGATTTCAATAGTCTCATATTAAGTCAGCATTTCGCAAATTCTATGGCTGTGATATTGAACTTGTTTGAAAAATGCAACCTATCGTAGCTATGTTGAGGCTTCCCGAAGCTTTAAAATGTGTTCAAAACATGACATTGCAATGAGAGGTCCGTTTTGATTTTAATTTATAAGTTATGTACGAAAGTACGGCATGTACATATAGAAGGTTAACGCATGATTTTATTGATCATTGACGGTCATTTACATTTTTTTGGAGTGTTCCATATAAATCGTGTCGGAGCAGCCGATCATCACAATATTTACTAACTTTTTGTAATATAAATAAACTCATCGTATCCTATTCTTGTGTAACAGAAATGTGCTTGGGAAAAGTCATATTATTATATGGGTACAAAATATTTCATGAGAAGATCAACTTACCGACACATTTAAGGGTATTCTCCTCACAATATCTTAATCTGTATTAAAACAAAGCCATAACATATTTTTCCCAAGCAAGATTCAGTTAGAGAACAAATACGTCTAACAGATGCCCAAAAAATATCTAAAATTAATCCTCATTAATCGCCTGCGCCAGACTCTTATACACACATAATAAATTCTACATCTATCCACAGGTATAAAACAGTTTACATCTCAAAAGGATATTCTTTGTAAGCATTTTAACACACCAAATTTCAGTAAAGCGACGTATTTTTAAATATTTGGACATATAAAATTTAAAAATATAATTAAAACATTCTGACATATTTTACATGAAATTGTAATAAGGGGTAAAGTTTATGACACTCTCGCGGTCTTTATCTCAAGGGGAACCCTGGACTCTGAACCCAACCCCCCAACCGCACCCATCTGCCTTTCCTCAATAATGCGTTCTCCCCGAAAACACCGACCAAGGTTCTCCTTTGGCAAGGCATTGCACCGCATTCAAGGTAACGGGAGGAGAGACTAAAAACCTCGATCCCCGAACTCCAGATATGTGTTCTACACACCGAACTACCTAGTCATTGGCGAAGAATTTGCCTGAATCTACCACAGTATGAGAGATATATATTAACCTAACGATGAATGACAAAAGCTCAATTTCGAATTGATTAAGAACTAGTATCAAGATCTATAACTCTCAGATATGTATTTGGAAAAATATAACATCGTAGTGTTTGATTAAGTGAGGGAGAAACTGTGCGTTTTTAACTTTACACGCAATTTATTCTCACTTGAAAAATTGTAAGACTGCATAAACAAATATAATTTTTGTAAAGATTTTAGTACTAATAAATTAAAGGCCAGTGTGCCACTTACTGTCAGGAACACATCATGAAATCTTGACAATTTCCTCAAGTTATATCTAAATCTACTCTGGATAACACAACAGGAAGCATTATGTTTTAAAATAAATGTTTTATATTCATGTTTTATTTTAGGTCAATATTCTAGCTAGGATTTAAGGAAGACGTGAGAAATCAGTTCCTTACACATTCCAAATAAAAAATATCGATCGTCGAAATTAAAAAAAAATGATACACAGAATTATGTATCTTGGTTTACTCTACTATTGTAAGTGGACAAAAACGGTTGGAGAAACGTTTTGAAAGAGTTTTACAGAAATTTATATTTCATAGTTACATTTTAAATATATGTATTCTGAAAATCACATATTTTTGTGGGTCAAATTGTCGTGGATTGAGGGGAAAATATTGGTTCGTAGGGATTTGATTTCGTAGATAAAGAAGTACTAATTTGTCATTTATTTGAAATATTACATTTCGTGGTGGACATAAATTCGTGGTCTCTTCAAACCACGAAAACAACGAAAAATAAAAACCACGAAAATATTAGATTTCATAATTTTATATAGTTGATTCGTTTTCTGAGTTTTTTTTCGATCAGACTAAAACTGTAGGATGAGATATGATAAATGAAATATTTTAATTGGAAATATATATTTTAGCATTCATGTCGACAACGTTTTTGAATCAAAAACCAATACATGTAAACAGAGACATGTACTTAAGGTAATGCACTTATTAGTATGTAATAAGTTCTACTGAATTCGCACAAAAATGTAGGAGTAGCATTTTGAAGTATTTTACTTTATTCCATTCGTTGAAATCAAAAGCTAAGATAAGGAATTATGCATCTTAGTAAAGCTTAAATTTCCAGAAAGTCTTATTGATTGAAATATGAAGATAACGAACAGTATTCAAGCTTAAAAGTCCATTGAAACAATACAAATTTTGAGCAGAGCAAACACAGACCTCTAAAAACATCAGAGGTGGGATCAGTTGCCATAGAGGAGTAAGCATCCCCTATCGACCGGTCACATCATCTGTGTGTTCCTTGTCATGATAGGGCAAACGGAAAAATCTGTGGACAATTCGGTGAAAATAATGTCCTAACAATTTGCATGCAAAATGTCAGTCAACATTCGACTTAATGATAGATTTTATTTGCTGACAAGGTCATTGTATCGACCATAGATGGAGAATGTTGATTTTAAATGAGACGGTTGATATTCTTGTTTCATCAACTGATTTGTCAATAGCTTGTCTTGTTTTAGAATTGTTCGTACGTAGAGCATGCTTTTGCGTATCGAATCAACTGGGAGACATAAACTTCATATGTAGGTGATAAGGGTATATTGCTACATAAATAAGGAAAGTTGAAATAAAAGAGAAGACACCACAGAGTCTGTCATATCTGCTTTATATTTGGATATTTTACTGACTATAGACGATAAGGGTCAACTAATAACTAAATTGAATGACAAACGAGATGACTTCAGCTTTTCCATCGTCAATTTTCCTTTTTTATGTAGTAACGTTCCGCTATCACCTGCATATGGTGTTTACGTCTCCCAACCTATTCGATACTGAAGAGCATGCTCTTAGTACGACCAATTTTTAGGCAGGCTAATGACAGATAAGTTAATGTTACAGGGATTTCAAAAACATCGTCAGCATTTTGTAAGTTCTAAGGTCGTTATAATGACCTTGTTATCAAATATAACATATCACTGGGTCGTATTTTGCCTGACATGTTTCATACCCATTGTTAGGCCTTTGTTTTTGTTTTTTAACCCAAATTTGACTACAAAATGTTCCGTATACCTGATCAATACATACGGCTCACGGTAGCTTTGACCGGTAAACAAGGAATGCTTAATACTCCTAGGCATCTGATCCTATTTCTGAAATTTCCAGGGGTCCCTATTCTATGCCTTGTTCACAGATTTCCATTGTTTGTTATCTTCACCTTTTTTTCATTGAGCAATAAGATAGCAGGTTATAACTATGCTATCTGCGTGTCACGAAATCTTGTCCAGGACAGAGTCTAAATGGAATTTATCTGTATTTCTTTGTTTTCCATCATCAGTTCCACTACATGTAAAATGTGAACAATATATAAATAGTGCACGTTTTTGAGGGTAACAGTTGAAATTGACACCCCAAGGAAAACCATTGTCAACCGACGCGTCAGCGGAGGTTGACAATGGTTTTCCGAGGGGTGTCAATTTCAACTGTTACCCTCAAAAACGTGCACTATTTATTTTATTATACTGAATGTCTTATTGAATTCGGATGTTATTAAAAAATTCGGAGATCGTCGTTAACTTCACGCTTAGAAAGCTTTCAAACTCCCCACTTCTATTTTTCTCAATAGGAAAGCTTCGTAAAAGATTTACCAACCTCTTTATTATTTGTTTGCTACTCAAAAAGTCCTTTATCACCTAAAGTTTGCACTCGCAAGGATGTTTCGTCTGTCGTTTGTCTTTTTCAAGTAAGCCACATCGGACGCAAGCTTTTATTGACGTCGTTTATTCGGCTTCTTTCAAACGCACAACCGACGTTTTGAGAATTCTACGGTGAACCGTACGCGCATGATTTGAACGCATGTGATATTTTCGTAATGTTACCCGTTGTCAAGTGTGTTGCTAACGCTGAGGGTAATATTACGGATTGTTAAACGTGTCTAAACCAATCAGATTTTAGTATTTAACATGAAAGTATAATAATGAAAAATATATGCTTAAATTGATATGTAATGTACCCTTGCGTATATAATACCTACATTTAGGGAAAGATGTGATATTTAGATCCCTTTCTCACATTCCCAAATTTATTACATGTATTACAATGATCCTTAATACTGTGTATCTTAAATTGGGTTGATAAATAGGTCAAGCATCCTTTTACTTGTACTTATATGGAATTTATTTTAAAGACAATTTCTAGCTAATGGCACAACAGAGGTTACTTTTTATCATATGGAGGCAGATAACAAATTTAATATTCAAGATGTATAAAATATCCATATTTTACACAATGCATTTGGTCCCAGTCAGACTTCCAAAAAATATCGCTGGGATGAACAATTAGCTTTCCGTTGAGAACACAGGGATTTAGATTTCCTTGGCTATGCTGATGGATTGTAGATTGTTTTGTCGATAAATGTAGTACAGATTTCTAGGAATTGGTCGAGATATTGGCGTATTAGTGTTATATATTGGACAATATGATATGAAGAGTCTGCGATTAGAATTGTTATGATCGCTCAAATAATCTCATTACTTTTCCATCGAATTCGTGTGACACGAGATTTTCTCGGGATTTGCAGTGAAGTGGTCCTTTCCCTGAATTCTGTGTCATGCTCTTCGTTTGATATGTGATAGTCTATGGAAGATTCTGAGACGTCATCCAGAGACATATTACTTCCGTTGTAGCTGCTGACGTCAGACATGGAGCTCGCACCTTCATATACCCATCTTAGTTCCATCATGGCGGAGTGGAGCTCAAAAAATCGTCGCATTAGCCTAATGTCATCTTTTCTTAAAATTACCTGAAATGTATGTAAAGGAACTTAAAACACATTTGAACATATCCTAAAATTCTGGCCCATCTTACATCTCGGAGAATCACATTGATTTTCTGAAAAGATTGTACCCATACATTAATTAGTTTCCAAGATTTAATAAGAATTTTAAAGGGATTTACTGCCATTTACATCTACTTTATATGAAGTCTCAATTTGTATTGACCATATATATATATATATATATATATATATATATATATATATATATATATATATATATATATATATATATATATATATATATATATATATATATAATTTTGATAGCTATTCTATCCTTTGTATGAAATGATGGATTTTTATCAAATTATGACACTAAAATTTTAAACCATAATTTGTCACGAGAACAGAGAAAAAACATTTATTCTAAACTCTAACCTCTTTAAAGTTTACTTTAAATTTTGAAGTAATAATAACTTTTTAAACCTTTCCGTCTGAAAGCACTCGGCGGTCAAAGATTGCGAATCTGAAGGAAGAAGGAAGATCAAGTTTTATTTTACAAATTAGAAGGCTCGTTTATTCAGTTTTAAATGACAATTTTCCATTAGTTATTTAGGACGATTGTGTGATAATCTAAAGCCGTGACATATCCACTGTGTCGCCAGCAGGTATCTGCAGATAACATCTCCCGGGTGCGTTTGATTTCTCCATCTTGTGATACTCTTCTCTTCCTTTGTAAATAAGATTTTTATCAGCTTTCGTTTTAATTGAAGAAAGATTTTTGCAATGTTTTCCATTACAACACAAAATATTTACATGGAAAACAATATTATTCGCCAAGCTTTATTACATTTTTTTCCCTTCCGATCTTTTCTCGCGTCTTTTTTAATGGCAGACGAGGGATCCAGGGTACTTTGAATCTGTGCGATATTTGAATTCCTGGATTAAGGAATTGTCGATCGGTTTCCTGGACCTGTGTATTAGTCCCCATATAATATTTCACAACGATGAAATAACAGAACCAAATAGCTTATATTTTTTTTATCTGCCATATCAATTGATAAGAGTTTTGTATTAGAGAGCAATAATATCTAAATCAATTGATATAGCCTACAGGCAAATTTTGTATTCTTAAATGGGTGGACCTCGAAGAGTTTTCCGATAAAAAAAATTAAAAAAAAAAAAAAGTGTTACGCTGACAGAAGACGGAAATTGTTTCTGAACAATTTTAGTTTGTTGAAAACTAATAGTTCTTTCGGAAGCTGTAATCAAATAGGAACTATTTTTACTGGATGTAATTCAAGTGCAAGCAAAAGAATTTTCGTTTGACGCCATTTCAAGCATTTTGACAAACAGTTCTCAAAATATATACAGAATTAAATTTGGATTAATTGAAAATCAATTCATTTACAGATCTGTGTATTATTCTGCGGAGGAATCTGCTTATCACATAGTGTGCATCGTAATTTTTTAAAAAATATCTTAGATCAAAAGATTTTTTTGTAAAATAAATAAGGTAAACTGGTCACACAAAAAAAAAGTTTGTCGTTAGAATTCAGAATTCCTCTAGATCTACAAGTTCCTCCTATGTTTTTATTGACTATATATGATTTATTATTATAGTAGATCATGTATATTAGTTATCAAATATCTATAGAGAATCCAATATATATATATATATATATATATATATATATATATATATATATATATATATATATATATATATATATATATATATATATAGTTGAAGTTCTTACCATTTGCTGTTTCACCCACTGAAGTGCAGAAGCTATGTCCTTTTCCCTTGACTCCGGACATTTTTGACCGTCGTTGTCCTCTCCCTCTCTGTTGACCCTAACGAATCTTTGAGGAAGGGTCACAGGAGTCAAATCCTCAGTGACATCACAGTGGAGGAGACACGTTGGTATGGGGAGGTTGATGGGGTTTATTTCTACAACTGAGTGTTGGTGTTCCATGTACTTCTCTCCATTACATGCATTTTTGATTAATCATTGGTTATCTCTTTTTAACGATACGGATGCCTGATTAAGCGAGTCACGGCTTACAACCCCGAAGCAATTCTATCTGTAATAGTGTATGCTATCTAGATATAGTTCCCGAGAAGCTTTTTGAGCTGATGTGCGATCTGCAGTGATTAAAACGCTCTAGTGACATAATTTAGTACAGAAAATGTAACGATTCACATTAACCCAGGTATAGTGAACAACTGCCATCGGCCTTACCGAGTCGTTGTTTATCAGATTTCGACGATATCATGTACACAATGTCAAATAAAGTAAATATAAACAAGTTAAGGTTCATCATCTCTCTGCTCACTCCTATAGAATTTTGCTTTAACGCTTATGACTTTACAAAAGGAATCTAATTCATAATTAAAATGCACATATTTTCAGGATACCTTGCAGGGCAAAATTTTAGAGAAATTGCCTTTTTACCTGACTTTTTAAAAGATATAACAGTAATTTAAACCCATTGTGAGTTATCTCTCTTATCAGAGTATCAATCAATCTTAATTTTGTTTGTTTGTTTGTTGTTTAACGTCCCTCTCGAGAATTTTTCACTCATATGGAGACGCCATCACTTATCGGTGGAGAGCTGCAAATTTTGACCTATTCTCGGCATTTAGGGCCATTTAGCAATGAGGGATCTTTTTTGTGCCAGCACCTACTGCGACACGGGACCTCGGTTTATACGGTCTCATCCGGAGGACCGGTCTCCACGTCCCACAGTGGGATTCGAACCAGCGACGTTAGGATCAACTCCTTACTCCGCGACTCTAGAGCAGATGCTCTAACCACTGTGCCACGCGGGCTGCTCTAACCACTGTGCCACGCGGGCGACTCAGTCTTAATGTAAAGACCTATTGAGTATGTTTTCTCTCGAATAGGAAGTGTGTGTGTGTGAGGGGGGAGAGGGTAAAGAATGATTCTATACACTGTGAATATATTTAGTTTACTAGTATTCAATGTTTTGCAGTTTGATATGGAATTTATTTCACAAGTGGCAGGAGTCGCCCGCGTGGCGCAGTGGTTAGAGCGTTCGCTCTAGAGTCGCTGAGTAAGGAGTTGATCCTTACGTCGCGGGTTCGAATCCCAGTGTAGGACGTGGAGACCGGTCCTTCGGATGATATAAACCGAGGTCCCATGTCGCAGTAGGTGCTAGCACGAAAAAGATCCCTCACTGCTCAATGGCCCTGAGTGCTGAGTATAGGTCAAAATTCGTAGCCCTCCACCGGCAAGTGGTGGCGTCTCAATATGAGTGAAAAAATCTTGAGAGGGACGTTAAACAATAAACAAACAAACAAACAAACACAAGTGGCAGGATTTCTTTGCATTTTCACAAGAGAACACACTCTCTCTCTCTCTCTCACACACACACAAGAAATAAAATTCAATATCAAACATTAAATTATCAGTTTTTATGAAATTCTATTCGCTTTTCCTTTTGACCCTAATAGCTAAGTTTTTTCTGTTGTTATTTGCACAATGTGAAAATAACATATGTATTTTAAAATATCAATTTTATTCAATGGATACAAAGCAAGTTACAGAGCTTTAGCGTCGAATATAATATACATGTACATGTATATAACTGACGGTGAGACCGATGGGACGAGCGGCGTTGTATTTATTTCTGAATACTATCAAACACTTTCATATAGACTTTTAATTTAAGCCCGCCTCTTCAAACTTCATGATGCATTGGAAGGTTAAAGGTCAGACGCACTCAGTCTAGACTTTGACGTCGTATGTATCTTAGTTGTACTTCCATAACGGAGTCCAACTACTGTAGTGCGATTTTTAATGAAAGGCATTGATATACATGTACTCGGATTTCTTTTAAAAAGAAGATGCAATTATTCTTTCTTCTTTAATTTTCAGCAAGGGCTAAATCTTGGTCGCCCAAATTTTTGCATGTCCGTCATTATCGCATGAAATTGTGGTAGTGAAGGAGTTCTGGAATATTTGCACACAAAAATGTGCAGTTCCTCTATTCTTACACGTCAATCTAAAGAGCTTGCTTCTCGAGCACCGCTCGCTGTGCCCACTATATATATATATATATATATATATATATATATATATATATATATATATATATATATATATATATATATATATATATATGTATGTATGTATGTATGTATGTATGTATGTATGTAAAGGAGAAAGGCCGAAAACTGTCTATTCTGTGAGAGAAAGAACTAATCGAGGGCGAATGGACAGTTTGAGGCCTATCTCCTACTTAAAGCATGATTTCCCTTGTTCTGAAAATTTAATTAAAAATGTACAAAACTGGTATTAGATATGACAGGTAGCACACATACAATGACAAGTTCATTGTTTACGGAATGGACAGTCACAGGTAAGCTAGGGATGCAGAGCAATTTAAAAGGTGTCTTTGTCTAGAATGGACAGTTACAGGTAGATTTTGGGGGATACTAGTATTTATAAAAGTATGCCATGCTTCAAAATCAGTTTATAGTTTGCGTTGTAAAGGCATACATGTTTTCCTCCGATGGAAAGAGTATATAACAAAATGAACCTAAAGATGCACAAACTCAGTGATATTTGGATCTGGAAATAGAGAATAGTAAGAGTAAAAAAAATACTAGGTAATATTTTCTCTTACTATTCTCTATTTCCAGATCCAAATATCACTGATTTTGTGCATCTTTTGGTTCATTATTTTTTTTGGTTATAATATTAGGCGTACTTCGATCTTAAAATGGATTCTTCTCGAGGGAATTTTCCTGAAATTTAAATCAGATGTGAAATTGTGTCATTTAAATTCAAGTTTTGTGAAAATTGAGTTTTGAGTATTGAAATTATGTGCATTATTCATGGATTTAAAAGTGTAAAATCGAATGGATGTTGTGCAGACATTGTGTTCTGGATTAATTTAGATCTTCGCAATCTCTTTGTTATTTACATGTAAATTAAATCGTATTTAATGTTTTTGTTTTTGTTTCCCTCTTGAACACATTCAAAAAATTCCATTCTTTTTGTTTAAATTGTCCATTCTTTTTGAAAAAACTGTCCATTCTTAAAAAGAATGGACAGTTATCCAAAAAGAATGGACACTTACAGGTAACTTAATGGATTGTTTGGGGAGTTAGCTCAACATTAAGCTATAGAATGGACAACACAAACAAAAGGTTTACGTCACAATCATGTTATATATATATACATATATATATATATATATATATATATATATATATATATATATATATATATATATATATATATATATATATATATATATATATATATATATATATATGTATGTATGTATGTATGTATGTATGTATGTATGTATACCCTATAAGTGGAATTTTAGCGACACCCTCGCTGATAAAAGAAAGTTGGATCCTCGCTAAAAATTCTGCTTAATCGGTATAAATTTATATATTCCATTTTGGGTTCTTCCCAGTCCATCTGATAAATGATTTCAACTGAAGAGGCGTGGTCCAGTTAAGATATCTGTGACGTTATCTCAATAAAAAAAATTGTACAAAATTATGTACTCTCTCGATAAGTAAACCGATTGACTCGATTATTATATATATTATATACTCGAGTATAGAATATTAGAATATAAACTGAAACAGATGAACTCTTCTGGTCCTCGTGTTTTTGCACTATAAAACTGTTCTTGTCCATTAAATACTTTGATGATTATGCTAAGCCATAATTCTGTATAGATACACTTAGACAAGAGCTTGTGTGAGAGAAAACGCAACATTTGATCAGATTAAACGCCAATCCATGGCTATTTATCAATTCATCTCAATCGAGCACGCCAAAATGGCCAGTGAAAGTGTAAGAGGAGCAGATATCACGATTGGTAAATGAAGATATTGCGTCCTCGCCCTGTAGGTTGAGAAGAACGGCCAACAGAGTAGCAGGCCTCCAAGTTCCTGACTTATCCGACTTTAATTAAGGGAAAGCTGAAGAATCCGGGTTTTAATCAGTGACGTAGGACAAATTCTAGCTGCAAGTCATTTATGACGATTTATTAAGTGCACCAATCCGCGTGATTACGGGTGATGCTATTTACGTCGATCAAGATAATTCATATAATTGGATGGAAATCATCGGCTATCTACCTAAGATGAATTAGCCTGTTACTACTCAATGATAACGACTCATCATTATTTCCAAATATCTTATACCAGAACTAACAGTCCTTAAATCGATGTAAATGTGATTGGAAAATGATAAACATTATTGTCTCTGTGAAGTCTCCCGATCGATTTCCGTGGAAGAGCATTGTTGACAAAAACGAATGGACCGGTGAAATACTGAACTAACGCATGAAACACCTGAATTATTGATCTCAATCAAATGTAATGATTAAGCAATGTGGGACGTACCGCTTGATGTGGAGAAGACGGTGGGGAATTCTATTAAAACTGGGACACCACGGGACGTTGTAATATGAATAGGGAATTTAATTAAGGACGGAAGCAAGTGGACAGATTTGACAGCATGAGGGCTAATTGTTTTCTGCCATCTCTTGCTGGACCAGCGACATGTTTGTCGGGAGGCTAGTGGACGAAAATGTTGCTGGGGTGGTGGTGTATATGTGCTTGTCTCCACTGGCTTGCTGGTGGTGGAGCTTCTGAGGTAGGGATCTTATTGATCTGTGATCAAACTTTCCAGGAAATTTGCCGTAAAAAACAATATGACGCAAAAGGTGACGTAGGCGTGACGTTGGAATTGGTCAGTGATAGCAACTCTTATATCACCCACGTAGAGAACATTCACAGTTTGCTACAGAATGACAAGAGACGTGACGTCATTATGGTGTTCGGGGACAGCAGTTTGGTAAGCGCCGCTGGCACAGTGGTTCAAGGAACCCGGATATCAGTGATTGCTTACAACAAAGGCCCTGTGCCAACGGTAAGGTTTCGGTGGAGACATATTGTTGTCGTATATGGTGTTTATTTAAATTAATACTTTAAATTAACTGTTTAACAAAATACGAGATAATACAGAAAATAAAACTTTTAGTGTAGCACTCATTTTCATCTTTCAAAGCTTCACTCTAAATAATTACAGACCGATGCTATTGCATTGATCTTTATGAGTATTTGCATTATTTATTTCTATGCTTGGTATTTAAATCTTACAAAAGGGACAGATTAAATTCGTAAATGAGTTGGTTTTGCATTAGACATAATGTCTGAATCTTTTAATTAACAAGAGGAAATTAGCTGTTTAATAATTTGCCAAGATATTCGTATACTCGTATTCATTTGCCAATATTTAAAACTGATGAAGTAAATATTTGCTAGTTGTCGAATGTGATAAAGTTCCCAGATCTGATGTGAATTTTTACACATTATTAATCCTAGAAGTCTGGTTTGGTCAAGAAAAACACTTTTCTTTAGAGAATGGACATCTACGACAAAGGAAATTCCCTTCTTAGTCCTAAATAATAAATTGTCTGTAAACTACAAATATTAAGCTCTGTTGGAAAATATCAGCACACAACAGGTTCTTTTAAACAAACAACGTGCAGATATGCTGAGGTCAGTATTGTCTTCATTTTATGTAATAAGATCTACAATAATGGTCATTGCTAAAAAGATCTTTTTGTTCTATTGGAAATTTTATAATAAATATATAATGGCGATTATTATAGTAAAAATATTTCCCCCACTAGTGGTGGAGAAACACTAGGGCAGGTCTCTCCCTCTACCGAAGTTACAGTCTAAACATCGGATTTGGACCTTGAGATACGTGTTCAAGTGAAGGTCATGATGAAAAACATACTCACCTTCCAGAGTTCCAAAGCCAAACCGGATTTGGTTTCACTATCTCGTGTTGCCCGCTTGGCGCAGTGGTTAGAGCGTCTGCTCTAGAGTCGCGGAGTAAGGAGCTGATCCTTACGTCGCTGGTTCGAATCCACTGCGGGACGTGAAGACCGGTCCTTCGGATGAGACCGTATAAACCGAGGTCCCGTGTCGCAGTAGGTGCTGGCACGAAAAAGATCCCTCGATCGCTGCTCAGTGTCCCTAAGTGCCGAGTATAGGTCAAAATTTGCAGCCCTCCACCTGCAAGTGGTGGCGTCTCCATATGAGTGAAAAATTCTCGAGAGGGAGTTAAACAACAAATAAACAAGCAAACTCATTACCGAGTTATCTTGACGTATAACCTTGAGATTCTGCCCTGGCCAGGATGACCATTAATTTTTTTAATTAGTGGTAATATTTCTGACACTGCAAGCTCATAAGGTGCATTTGTCTCTCTGAGAAATTTATTTTAGATTTTGTTGAAATAAATGTTGTATGTTTTTGGTCAATTTTAATGATTTCACTAGATTTTGAGTGATCTTTTGTATTTTATGTAGGAAAGTGAATCTTTTAAAAGCAGCATTATTTTTTCTAGCAAAATAAAAGCAATTTAATGCAAAAATATTTCAGGTTAAATTCTCTTTTATGTCAGCTAATTTTCTTCAATTTACAGACCTTTTTAAAATATTTAACATTCTTTGATATATACCAGTAATATTTATTCTTTTTACACTTTATTTTTGTCAACGTAGTGAATTTATAAAATGTCTGTTTGAAAAAGTTTCCTTAAACGGTGTATTCTAAACATATGGTTAAGAAATTGTTAAGCGATTCTTTTTTTTATGAAAAGCAATCAAGAATTAACCAGGGATCTGTATTCTCTAAATTCGTTTATTTAGTATATCATACATAAGAAACTTTGTCCAAGCATAGGTAGACAAGTTCTTTAATGATCAAATCTCCACAGATCGTGCTTAAAACATTATTCAACAAGCCCCGTCACTTAAAATTTGGGTCTGTCTGTCCGTATGTCCATTGGCATTCTGTTTTGTGTTTAACACTTCTGTTTCCGGAAGATATCTCAAAAAGTCTTTGAGTTTTTACAATGAAATTTTATACCACAACTCCCTTTGGCCTAAAGAAGACCTCTATTGATTTTGAGAGCAAAGGTCAAGGTCAGAAATTCATACATGCTGTCTGTGTAGAACACATTCGTTTCCAGACAATATCTCAAAAAGCCTTTGAGCTTTTGCAATGAAATTTTATATCACAACCCCCTGTGGCCTAAAGAAGACCCTTGTAGATTTTGAGGACCAAAGATCAAGGTAAGAAATTCATACATTTAAAAAAAATGGTTTCCAGATGATACCTTTTCTTTTTTTTTTTTTAGCATTTTCAAGGAATTAAATATCATAACTCTCATTGTCTTAAAAAGACCTATATTGATTTTCAGGTCAAAAGGTCAAAGGTCTGGGCCAGAAATTCGTAAATTCTGTCTGTTTTGGACTCTTTCGTTTCCGAACGATATCTCAAAAAGCCTTTGGGGTTTTGCAATGAAATTTTAGATCACAACTCTCCGTGGTCTAAAGAAGACACCTATTGATTTTGAGCTAAATGGGTCTAATGTGAAGGTCAGAAATTCATTGCAAAAAAATGGTTTCCCTTGTAACAACTTTTGTTATCTTGGAGGTTTCCATTGAAGAAATTTTATACCTTTAGTCAATATATCTTATTAAAAAAAATCCCTATTGATTTTGAAGTCAAAAGGTCAAAGACCAATGTCAGAAATTCATATATTGCATACAAAGTTTTCATGTCATACATGAAGCAAAGTTTCTTTGCAAAGAAACTTAAGGTCATGAATTTTTTTAGCCTAAGAAAAACTCCTATTTACTAGTATCTTAAGGCCAATAATCTGAAAAGTTGACCTTTTTCTCTCTCCTTCTGCATTTCCATGAGGTCTCCCACCCTTTTTTTCACTTTTAAGCGGGGGACACAGATTCCCTGAATTAGGTTGTTCATGAAACTTTGGCATTTAAGCACAATATTGTAACTTACCAATCATGTAACAAAAACGAAATGCATGAAAAACCGTATTCCCCAGACTGTGTCCCAAGTATGTTACATCTTCCACCAAGTAAATCTGTATAAAATAAATCTCCTTAAGATAATTTTATTTCTTTAATGGCCAAGTCTGTATAAAATAAATTTTTAAAGATAATTCTGTTTCTTAAATGCTTTAAATTTAACTGCTTTTAGAATTTCTGACAACGACAAACGACATTCATTTAATTAAAATCTTATAGCTACAGAGACAGTTAACTAATACGTTTGTCCCCTAATTTGTCCTGAACACACTTATGTAGGGTATTGAATGATAAACTAATCATATTCCCTGTTCTGCTGAGTCAACTTTCGTATACAGTCATTGCACAAATGTCTTTCACCCAATTCAAATGAAGCTATTTTTATAAGAAACATCCACTATGATCCTAATGAGCCCCTAAGTGCCAGGCAATACTCTGCCGAGAATGAAAGACTGATATTTCCGGGTGATGTAAACCTTAAACCTCGGGGGTGCAGATATGGAAACTTATTTATTATTTCTTAAAATAAAAGTTTATATCAATTAATTTGCACGAAGGTCGAACCTAACTTTTTAAATGCGATTTTAGATTTTGAATAGGCTAAAGTACATTTAATACTGAAATAGCAACATGCTGTATTTATTTCAAAGATAACAAAGAACAGTGTATGTACTTATAAAATATCAAAAGGCAATGTTCGTAATTGATAAATGAAATCAATATCATGACAAGTTTGATTATTCAAAAAAGTCAAAAGAAGAAAGAGAAATTCTTTCTGTTATTTCCATTTGTGCATGCTTTCTACTGATTTGTATAAATAGCAGTACAAGTATAAGAGTCAATTTTAAAACATTTATTGACTCAAAAAATAATACTTTAAACTTATAACTGCTAAATAGCATAATTAAGTCAGTAGTAATAGAAGTAAAACGAAGAGACATACCGGCCAAGGCCCTTAGGGAAGAGGCTTAAATATTGAAGAGCAATTCAAAAATACGTAGATGAAGAAGAAAAAAAATTGTAAAATTGCGATACATAGTCTTGTTTTTCGTGGGTTCTAACCACGGATAATTTTTCGTAACTTTTTTCACACGATTCATATGATTTTATAGAAAGACAGTCAATACATTTTATTTTTAACTCACTGGTATCTAAACAGTTATAATAGCTTCTTAAACTATCCTCTTTTCACCATGTTTGTGAGGCGCTGCTTCTCTGAACCAAGCCATCAGATCTTAGTTGGAAACCTGGTGTTTGAAACATCCGTTTGAACTTGGTAATAAACAAGCAAATTAAGAGAATTGTGGTCCCCCGCCTTCACCGAATCTCGGAACAGTCCTTCAAAATTCACGTCTTGAAATTCATCCCCAATTTCGATTGCTTGTCGCGGTAATAATTGGGACATATCTGTGTCTCACCCCGCTTCATTTCGTCTCCTTAAACATCGTATTTTATTATTATTTAGCTGCTTGCTTCGATTCAAACCGCCATTTTTGGAACCTTTTTTTAAATAAAAGAATTCCAATACAATCTGCGCATCATCTTCAAGCTTTTCGAGGATGATCAGCGAAAATGGCAGTGGATTCAAAACAGATACATGAGCTTTAAAAATTGTGGGAGAAATACTAAGTCAATAAAAGATATAGAGATTTCATTTAAATAAATAGTTAGAAGGATGTTCAAGCTGTAAATCTGAAGCGGGCGAAACACAGATATATCCCGATTTTAACCGCCACAAGCGATCGAAGTTGGGGATGAATTTCCAGACGTCAATTGTGAAAGACTGTTCCGAGATTCGGTGAAGGCGTCAGTTCAAATATCTAGTCGAGCCGAATCTCTGCCGAGATTAGAAAAATAGAATAGTATTTGATTGCAATGATTCACTTGATCCCGATTATATTAATGAATATTGTTGATTTTAACAGCAGAATTTCCATTACAGAAAGTTCAACATTTGAAATGAGCAGATATCTTTAACAAACGAAATATTTGCAGTATGCATAACGTGTATATATGAAACGTATCTTGAACACTTGCCAAATTTCAAGAGTTACACATAGGCTGAAATATTCATAATTATATGAGACACGTATGATTGTTGTTGTTTTACGTCCCTTGCAAGATCATTTTCTTAGTATGTTACGTTACCAGATGCCGATTAAGGGCTTGAAATTTAGACCTCCACTTGGCACTGAGGGCTATTGAGCAGTGAGGGTTCTTTAGCGTGCCAGACCATGCTGTGACAAGGAACCTCGGTTTTTAAGGCCTCATCCGAAAGACTCGCAACTTTCACGTCTAATGCAGGGCGCTCGAAAAAGGAACAATTTATCCCTATTTTATTTTTTATCTATACTTAGGTTTGTCGCGGCAGGGACGCAAACCCACGATCTTCCGATTACGGAACGACCCCTAATATATATAATACTTTTATGAATACATGTTCAACAAGTATGTCGCTTGCTTTGATTTGTGATTTTTTTATGGTAAACATAAGATTTTAAAACATGTTGAACAGATGCTGTAATGCTGCTATTTTTGTATGATAAACACACGTTTGAGCCATATGTTAACATATCCTACATTTTACCTATTTACTCACTCGAGTTCCCTTCTACTAAATATTTTTATGTTTAATTAACATTAAAGCAAATTGAAATAACTTTTCAGCGTATAATTCAATTCAGTTGATTAGTCACAAATTAAGCCCCCTCAAAGGACAAAAGAAAATAATATTGCCAGTAAAATTCTTCACAGTTTAATTTCTGTTAAGAAAAAAGATCAAATTATTGTTAATGGATGGGGTTTAGTTAAATAGTACCTTTCTTTCTTTATTAAATTTGTTATATTATCTTTATTTGAAAATCATTGTTCTCTTTGGCAACAGAAGCAACAAATCAACTGAGAGAGGAGATAACAAGAATTTCTGACCCCCACCCCCATTTACGATCTCTATGTACCTTCAAATTAAACCCGGTAAATTCATATTTTTAACAAGGGACACAGCTTGCAAGGAGCAAAAATATAGGTTTAATTAAGAAATAAGATGTCAATTTTAGAGTTTCATTGGGATATGACATGAAGTTGGTCACGTGATCTTTAACACCCGAAGAGTATTATAGCACATTTGATCACGTACCAACTTCATCTCATATCCCAGTGAAACTCTATAAAATGATGTTTTATTTTTTTTTAATTTATATTTCTATTGTGATTTGTGTTACAAGTAGTGTTGTCAACGAGTACCCGGTTAACCGGTTAATCGCCGAAAGATGCGAGTATCGGTTACTAAAACAGACACTCGGTTACTCGGATAAATACACATTTTATATGGTAAATCAGTAGAAAAAAATTTTATTAATAAATGTCTCCCATTTTATTTACCGTTAGATCTATTTAAAGTAACGCCTATTACGTTTCACCAATACGATCCATTTGTTTTGATTAGTTTTTCACAGTTTATATAGTTGATGGCTTTGATTGTCAAGGGTACATGTTTGTATGCACGTTTTTGAAGACTTGAATTAATTATAATTACCTTAAATAAAACTGTGTGAGCTAGTCTGCGGTACAACATTAAAGACAATACCGCCACATGTATCAAAAGCATTGAAATATTTATAAAAAGAATGGCTAATTTTAAGTCCATGAGGTATTATTTATGTAAAATTGATATACATATGTATAGGTGGGACAACAAACATGCTGAAGTATCGCAGACTAAAATTTAACTTATCCCGCAAAGCAGTCAACTATTACGTGGTGTTTGAGAACAAATTTATGAAGAAGATATTGTGTGTTTGTAATTAAAAATAAAATTCACATGCAGTGCATTTCTGTTTTACAAATGATAAGATAAATATAGAAATTGTAATGACTGTGATGACGTTACATATAGTGTATATTACAGTTACTAATGAGTGTATACATCGCGAAAAAGGATGCTTAGAGATCTAAAGAAAAACATCCGAGTAACCGGTTACTCGATCGGAAAAGTAAGCGAGTAACCGGTTACTAAAATTCGTCCGATTTGACAACACTAGTTACAAGGAAAAAATGCACTTTTTAAACTCCATAATGGAAGTGCAACTTACATACATGTACGATATCAAGTGACGTCAAAGTCTATACCTACCAAATGTTTATTTTCCGTATTCCAGAAAGTCTGATCACGTGATCAACTTCATGTCATCAAAAATTGAATGTCATTTTCTTTGTATTGTCATTAATGGAAAGACATTGGCAAATGTAAATATATGTTAAATATGGGTCAGCACTTCATATTCTTTTCCTTCCATGATTAAATCGAGATGACATTTGAATTGACGCGAATTACAATACTCCATGAGAATCTAATTCTTGATAACTCTTTCATAATAAGCCATTTCTAATAATAAAGTAATCAGCTATTTAAGGATAGGCAGAGGACACTAAAAACCTTTTGATTCTTTAAAAAAAAGAACCGGTTTTTACTTTTTTCCCCCGATTCGGTGTAATTTTTGCATGATTATAAAAAAAAATCTTAAGAAGAAGTAAACGAAAGCTGCTTTTACACAAGAGAAATCATTTACGTAATACTCAACAAACCGAGTGTCTGAATTGTGATTTTTGTCAATCATTGTTCTTCACCTGAACCAATTAACCTGTGTCGGATTATCTTCTTCCATGCCGACATAATTAAATAGCATTATGCTACTATAATGACAGAGGTGTATAAATTTGTTCTTTCTTGAATGAAAAATATTTATTTTTGTGTGTAATGGTTTTGTGTCTTGGTGGTCTGTAACATTATTGATATTAAAATATTTAGATATTGCTTAAAAATACAAATCAAGCAAGGTATTTTTTTTTTGGGGGGGGGGGGTCCCTCTTATGCACAACAATACATCTTTTTACTATATATCCACATAAAGCAAATCAGTATATGTGCAATAGCCACAGTCCAGTTAGGTGAACAAGCAACCAATCAGATAAGGACCTGACTATTTGTAGTTAATGTCAGACAAATCCTTCCGTGACCAAACAGTTGCAATCATAAAAACATAAAAGACATGAGGAGAACTTAAGTCGCTAAATATGACGGATGGTCCATTAGTCCGTCGTTTCTCTGTAACTCAACCCCTTATAACTGTCTGTTTTATGCCGGGCTCTATTGACTTGCTACCAAATAGCTTCCGAGTGGATGTCGTGGAATCTAAGCTTCCGAGTGGATGGCGTGAAATCTAAGAGGTCAACAAAATATGTGTTCAATAGAAATTCAATTAAATGTTACAATGCATTATCGATATTAAGAAACCTTCACGAGATGAGCGATTAAGGAGAACCTGGGCCGATAGATTGGATAAAATACCAATTTCGATGGAATTCATCTGAAAGTTGTGTAAATTTATCTTAGCGTAATTTCCCCAAAACACGACTTTTTAAGAATTTATTTGGTCAAGGATTCAGCAACGTTTAATCCCCCCACACACTAGCTATTACTGGTTGTCAGTCATTTTGAATTAAATGCTTTTGCAAAGGTATAACTGAGCTGTATAAACAAGGAAACATTTCATTTTCCTCTTTTTCTCAGTGGATCTTGAAAATTCCAAGGAACTTTTGGAAAATTTGAAATCAGAAAATTTTACCAAAATCAATAAGTTAACATCAAAATGTACGATTTTTCAACACTTTATACAGCAATTCCACACGATTAATAAAAGTCCAGGCTTTTTGAAAGCACACAGTAGCTTTTTAAATAAAAACGGAACTAGTAAATTTACTTACCTTGTCATTGGTCATTTGCAAAATTGTTTTGTTAATAGACATTCTAAATGTACACACAAGTACTCCGAAGTTGATATTAAAAAGAATCTTGAGTTTCTGATTGACAATATCTATAGCTATGTAGTTTTTGGAGATCAAGTCTTCCAACAATCTTCCTATTTGTATTCATGTGAAGAAGAATTTATTCAAAAACTTCTACATGAAAAGAAGAAGTCTCTTGTTATTGCCTTCTATTCAACATTTAGATATTTCGACGACGTTTTATCAATTAAAAATATTCATTTTCATTCCTACGTTGATTCAGTATATCCCTTTGAACTTGAAATAAAAGATACCACAGAGTCTGACACATCTGTTTCATATTTGGATATTTTACTAGAAAAAGACACTAGTGGTAACCTAACAACCAAGCTTTGTGATAAAGGTGATAACTTCATCAACTCAATCGTCAACTTCATGCATATGGAGTTTGTCCCCCAGTTAATTCGATATAAGTTAATGAAACAAGATTATCAACAGTCTCGTTTAAAGTATTATTTCGCAAGTTCTATGGTCGATACAATGACCTTGTCAGCAAATACAATCTATCATTAAATCGAATGTTGACTGACGTTTTTCATACAAAACTTAGGCCAATATTTTCATTGAATTGTCCACAGATTTTTCTGTTTGCTCAATCATGACAAGGAGCAAACGGCGAGTGTGACCGGTGGACAGGGGGATGTTTACTCCTCTATGGCACCTGTTTCACCTCTGATGTTTTAGTGTTTGTTTTGCTCCCGATTTGTATTGTCTAAATGGACTTTTGAGCTTGCTTACTGTTATTATCTTCATATTTCTCTTACATTCAAATTTTCCTAAATATGCATGTTAGGTCTAAAATTAAGTATCTCGAATTTAGTGTTATTTTGAACACTTAATTTCTGTGGTTTCATCATTAGTTTTCATGACAGTCCTCGTAAAGAACATTTACCGGTAATATAATCACAAAATATTGTTCTTTGACAGATTTATCAAGATGACATCATTTCCGTCAACTCTAACATGCTCCATCTTGGACAAGCCATGATGCATCTCATTAACAGTCTAAGGGTGGTCAAACATACCCATGTTTTCACAGACATTAATTTGCTTTATGATGGTTTCCTTCAAGGGTTCTGGGATGGAAACCTGAATTTTTCTCACTCCACAGTATTGCACGAAGACATGGAAAATGAAATCTCTCTGTTTTTCTATTTGAGGGATTTACGGGAAAGTGGTATAAAACAATTTGTCGTGCACGCACGTCCAGATCTGGTCTATCTCTTGATGCGTGCAAACAGGCGTTTGGACAACACCGGAAGAGGATATCAGTGGTTTTTATCATATACTTCCGTGTCGAATTTCACCGATAACGACATTATACCAGAGGGTACACTTGTTGTAGAATCTGCCCAGAATGATCAAGCAGTTGTGGAATACGCCCTGGGGCGGATCTTTGAGGAATTAGAGAATATCGTGCACAATTGTTTCACCGGTGACATATTCGACTGCATCAGGTAATTCAAGCAATTTTGCTCTGTAATCCCGTATACGTCATCATTTTTATTTTGTAATCCCGATTATTTGGTCTTATTTGTGATCTTGTTCATGAAATTAAGCTCTAAATTTAATTGAGAAGTTGAGTCCTCTCTCTCTCTCTCTCTCTCTATATATATATATATAAAATATAATAAAAAAATTAATTTATTTAATTAATTAAAAAAATAATATATATATAAATTATCTATCTATCGTCTTGTCTAATTTCAGAGATGTTCGTGTAAACAAGTCCAGTAAGAAAAACCTCTTGTTATCAAGTGGAATTGGTCACTTTGAGATAAGCAATCGCTTTTGGAGAGTGATAAATGAGACATACAAGGAACTCGAGTGGATGTCGGCCGGCAACATCTTCTATAACAGCACCAAGCACAGCATTCAGTGGTACGGAAGCACAATACTGGGACCAATATTTCACAGTAAGAACTTCTATCGCGTCGTCACTACTCCATCGCCGCCGTTTGTCATGATTAAAGGTCCCATTGATCAGGGGGATTCTTGTTATGGAAACAAACTTTGTTTCAAGATTCTTAAAGGGAACCCCATGTACCTCGGACCAAACACTCGTCTGGAGGACTTTAAAAAGAACGTGGAAGTGGAGAGGTACTGCTGCAGTGGCTTTGTCATGGACATACTGGAGTATTTATCCACAGATCTGGTCTTTGATTACCTGGTATATTTCAGAGATGAGGTCGGCCATAATGCCACAGATCGACGTGAGTCCATGATTTATGATGTGGGGAATGGAACCGCGGATATCATAGCCGGTGCTCTAACTATAACGTCCAATGACAGCAAAATTCTACGATTCACGGAGCCATACTATTTCTCGGGATTTGTGATGGCAGTACCACTTGAAACGACGAAACCGTCTATGGACGCATTTACAGCCCCGTTTGATGGTTATGTGTGGTTGGCAATCTTTTTAAGTGCAACAACAGCAGCTTTAGCTACCTCTCTGTTTGAATGGAACAGTCCATTCGGACTGAATCCGTGGGGACGAAAACGTTTGAAGAATTACACCCTTGGTTCGGCTTTGGTCATGGTCTACTCTGTTTTGTTTGGCCACACTGTTAGCACAAAGTCACCTAAATCTTGGCCGGCGAAGGTTCTCCAGAACTTTTGGGCAGGACTCGCCATTTTTATTGTGGCTAGCTATACTGCAAACCTAGCTGCATATTTGGCAGGAATCAGCAGGGTGGATGAAATAATCAGCATCTTTGATCAAAGCGTGAGTTGCTTTAATTTATTTCAGATTATTGATACTCTCATTCCCCTCTTTCACTGAAAGTGAAGGGTATTAATTTGGGTCTATCTGTCTGTCAGTCATTCCGTCTCTTTTACGCTTTTGTTTCGGGTCGATACCACACAAAGCTTCTGAGCTTTTGCAATGAAATTTTATATCACAATCCCTATGGCATGAAGAAAATCCTACTGATTCCGAGGTCAAAAGGTCAAGTTAAGAAACTCATACATTCTGTGTGTAACACTTTCGTTCCCGGACGATATCTTAACATCTTTTAAAACTAAAAAAATTCGAGAATTCAGTGAATTTTTCATATCACAACACCCTATAGCCTAAAAAAAAAGAACTCTAATGATTTTAAGGTCAAATGTCATGGTAAGAAATTCATAAATAGCAAAAAGTGGTTTCCAGATGAATACTTTTTTTTTTAAACTTTTCAGTGAAAATTAATATCATAACGCCTTGTGACTTGAAAAAGACCCCAATTGATTTTTAGATCAAAAAGGTCGAAGGTCAAGGTCAGAATTTCACACAATGTGAAAATAATTGTTTCGAAATGAGAACTTTAGTTTTTCTTGAGCTTTTTCAATTATATTTTGTATCATAACTTCCACTGACTTAAACAAGACCCCCTTTGATTTTAGGTCGAAAGGTCAAGATCAAAAATTCACACCTTGCATAAAATGGTTTCCTAGTGATAACTGTAGTTCTCTTTTTTTGCAATGAGATTTTATACCTTTAATACATATGACCTAGGAAAAAGACGTCTATTTATTTTGAGGTCAAAGTCCAAGGTCCAAAATTTATATATTACACACAAAGTTTTTAGATAATTAGATCTCTGTAAGCTTTTATGATGAAACATAAGGTCATAAATTTCTTTAGCTTAAAAAAAGACCCATTGTAACCTGAAGGACAAAAACTGAAAGGTCTATGTTGACCTTTTTTTTCTGCATGTATTTTTTTCAGTTCTTCCACTCCTTTTTTTCCTTAAGTGGGGATATAAAGTCCCTTGATTTGCTTGTTTTTTAATGTTTCTGTGGAATAGTCATTTTATCCACTATTTTTTGACAGATGAGTTCCAAGCGTGTATATGTGACAAGGTCAAGTCCCGCTGCTAACTACCTCCAGGTCATCAAAGAAAAACTAAAGAGGAATATTGTTATAAATGAGATTTCACCAGAAGAGACGCCTCATAGCATTGTCAAGCACCTAAGGTAAATACTATGCATTCAGCACTGACTTTTACAATCGACGGCTTTTACGCTAAGACAATGTACGGAGGCTCTTTTGCGATATAAATATTGAGAAGTTGAACAATTACTTAAAAGGTAATAATGGACCGTTTTAAAGCATATATTACGTCGTCTAGGAAGGAAACTGCAACCACCCTATCCTCAACCCACTCCCTTTCCACCCTGACCAACTCTTGCCAAGTTTTCCATCCGGAACATTTTTTTCTTCCTTATTTGATTCTTTCAGCATATGAGATTAAAAGGAGATACTGCTCCCCACGAAAAACGTTTCTTGAATATTGTTATTCTACTTCCCATCATCACTCGTATAAATGTATACCGGTTAATCATGTTAGCACCTCATAAAACCATATCTATAACCCCTATTAATGTTTTGTTATCTTTAATCAATGTCGTTCCTCCGTACATAACACAGGTTTAAAAGTCAAAGTAAGCCTTCGAATGTAAAGACTGTAAAAATCAGCGCTTCTCGCAAAAGTCCTCTAGTGGATTTTTGTGAGAAGCGCTGACTTTTACAGTCGACGACTTACTTTGACATTTAAACCTGCAGTATGTACGAAGGTACGGTAATGATAATAGATAAGAAAACCTTAATAGTGGTTATAGGTATGGTATAAGGAGAGCTAACATGATTTAAATGTATACAATAAACACAGAGATGATGGGAGGCAGAATAATATAATTTAAGAGGGCTGGGCGGTTGTGGCCATTTTCAGACTATATTGATCTCCTTTAGAAGAAGAGCTCCATATAAAGATATATAAAAATGATCAAATTTTAAAACTAAAATGTATGAAATTTTTGTTTGCCAAATGATAGTTGACAGCTTAAGATATCATATCTAAAAAATTAAGTTATATCTGATGGTTAATTTGTTGACCCCCCAGCCTCCTTAAATACCTTATTCTTGAGGGGTAGTATCTCCGTTTAATCATTTCCTGAAGGAATCAAATATAGAAGAAAAACATTCTGGAAGGAAAACTAAGCAAGAGTTGGTCAAAGTGGGAAAGGAGGGGGTTGAGGGTAGGGTAGTTGCCGTTCTCTTCATAGACAACGTAATATGTGCTTTGAATGACCCATTACTATCTTTTAATTAACTGTGGATCTAAACATTTATATCGCAAAAGAGTTTCTGTATATTGTCCAAATATAAAAATAAGCTGTCGACTGTACAAGTCAGCGCTTCTTAAATGCAAAGGTCTATTATTACAGACACTGTCAACGACTCAAGGTTATATTTACTCAAAGGAAAAAGAAATGCATATTCACATAAAACAAGGAATTTTTTTTTCGAAAATTTAAATATGAATAAACAAAAAAATATATTTTTTGATATAATTTAACATATATATTTTGATATAAATTATATTTATATGACATTTTATACGTACGATCAATGTTAATCAATAATCAAGCATGTATTGGATAACAAGATACAGTCCACTAATGTTTTCCCATAGGAGACAACGTTAACGTTTTGTTCATATAACTTCGTTCAGCAATCAGTGACCCTCAAATCAAAGCACATCAGGTTGTCTTTCCTTGGTTAAAATCTCGAGGTGGCAGGTCAGGTTGAAAGTGAAAGTAGGGAAATTCCAGACTTTTCACTGGTGTTATAATACAGAATAGACTGGCTTGCCTGTCTGATATGCGCGATATACAGACTCTTTCGAACGATAGAGACAGGCAATACTAGTCTAAATACAGAAACAATTCTGCTAATCTTCTTGATAAATTACATTCGTCAGGCTATTCTGTAAGGGAACATACTCCTTATCAACAAGTATGAAGCTCAGTTTAGTACATTAACACATTTTTTATTCAAGTCTGCAAATTAAGGAATTTGTAATTTTTTTCTGCACTACTTTCTTCCCTACCGATTCTAAAAATAATTACAGGTATGCACCCAACTTGGCAACGGAAACAAAAATAGTATGTATTCAATAACTTGGCAACTGAAACAAAATTCGTCATATTCTTTAATGAAAGGCCCCATGTTAAAATTTATTCATTAATATCAAGTGTGTCTACCATGCACAGCAATTGCTGCGCTGATGGAAACCTCTGCGCATCGTGTTAATGAATTAGTAAACTGTGTCCTTAGTGGGGAAATGATTACATTTTTCTGTCACTCGCCAGCTTTTCTGTGTTCGGAAGGTTTTGCCAATGCCGAACTCGTCTATCTATTTCATCCCACAAGTTCAATGGGAGAGAGGTGGGTCCTTATAGAGGCCATTCATATGGTACAATGTTGTTTGTTGCCAGATAATCTCGACATACTCTTGCAACGTCCCAATAACTTATAGCCCTTGAAGAGCCATCAACAACAACTAAAGTCGTCTTTAGTCCAAGAGCTATTCCACCCCTTATCATTCTGTGGGTCCTCCCTTATTCGATCGCTCTCCATGATGCATGAGTCGGAAAAACGTTTACCCCTATACACCCGCCTCCTTCAATATGCGCGGCAAAAGGGCGAATCTAGACACGTGTGAGAGTAGAGCATATCACCAGCGTTGCAAGGGAAATCCAATGTAACCAGTCTGTTTGAATGTTTCTACGGTTGTGCTTCGACTGCAATTTTTTGTACGATCTGCGCGATCTAGGAATCGCCTCCTCCAGCATACTTCATAAGTTTTTTTTTTTTGTTTTATTCAAGTACGTACTATAACGTCCTTGAAAATAAACAGCACTTTTTACAGCCGTTTGGAAACGATTTCCGAGATGGAGAAGACATTTATCTGTCTTGGCGCCTAGTCGTTTTCTGCATACAGCCACTTCTAGGGCGGTCCTTCGAAAACAAAATACTGTTGACTTTGCAAAAGTAACGCTATTGCTTCAGCCGTCTGATATTTATTTAAGCATGGCATTGTAACAAGTTGATATCAACACAAATAAAGTGCAGAACTGGCACCTGATCCCACTTCTGTTTTAAAAAGTCCATGTTGGCTCATAATTTGTATTGTTTAAAATTGACTTTTGAGATTGATCACTTTTCATTATCTTCATATTTCGCATTGGATCATCAAAAAAAGATCAATAATGACTACAAATTTACCATATGTATCTCCACTCCAAAACCGTTCAATGGTTGCCAGAATCATTTGCTCTATTCATGGTTGAATAATGTTCTGTTCTTGAGCTTGCAGCCAACACTCAATTGAACAATAAAAAGAATTCGAACTTTGATCCTCTATTTCTGTATATATCCTACCAAGAAGTGTAATATGCGTTTCTTTTTTTTTTCCTTTGAGGATATTCATATTTCCATCACAATCAAAAGTCATGTATTCTAGGCTTTGTTCTGTTAAAAACCTAGTCAATTGCTTAAGATAACGTATTCTATCAAGAGACTGTGAAACAAGAGACATTGGAACAATTCATCATTGATAAAACTCTTCTGGGAGAGGTATATGAATGACGAGGAATTGCATATGTCAATAAATGTGAGCAAAAGTCTGAAGGATGCATTAATCTTTTTTTTTTTTTCGCTGATGAATTTTTAAAGTAACTTTCACGCTACCTCAATGGTTATTCACTAAATATTAGGCTAATAATGAATGCAATATTATTTTCAGAGACAAAACGTATGACGTTTTCATCAATGATCGTCTGCTTTTGGAGTATACACTTGCACAACACGACAACTGTTCAATCAAATTTAGTGGCCATGACTTTGGAGAAAATCTCTACGCATTTGGATTAAATAGAGATGCAATTCATCTGACGGTACAGCAGCATCTACATTACATTATCTGGGGGTATATTGTTCTTTGCTTTACCCAGGTACACCCGTTTGTACGTCAGAAGGAACTATACTTTAATGCCTCATACGACGGTTCGTTATGATGGGAGTTTTTTGCTTCAGAGGGAAAAGTATTGACATACAGACAAAATAAAGATACGACCTACGAATTGAAGTCTTAACTTCCATATCCTTTCCACGGCAGTAACGTTATAACCCGGATATAAAAAAAAACGGGTTCATATAGCCAAGGGACAGCCTCAACGTAATAAAAAGGATATGAAATTTCAGGTTTATGTAGCTAAGGTTGTTTAACGTAGAAGGGTCAGAGATTTTGTACACAATCGTTAATATTCAGTAACGTCTTGTAAATTTCAGAAACCATATTTGAAAAATCAAATGATTTTTCTTGCAAATTCATATATATGGACATCATGCTTACTAGAAAAAGTGCAGAAATAGTTTAATTTTCTTTAAATATAGATTAAAAATTGCATAATTGATTTTTCGCATATATTTAGAAAAACTGCATATTACGTAATCCACAAAAACTTCATGATTACATGTATTTTTATCTTTTTTTCCGCTTACGTGTGATGAATACGTTAGGGTACATGAGAGCTATTTTCATGGCTTCATATATGTACAACCTAGCGTACTTAAACATAATCATTCAGAAAAATTCTATCGACTCTAGAACAACTGTGACGTAATAATACGTAAAAGTATGAAAAATTTATAAGGAGTATTTAGTGAAAATGAAAATATATTACTATTTTTACGCTGTGGATATAAAAAGTTTTGTTTTTTTATGTCCGGTTTATTACGTTCCGGTTGTCCTCCAGAAAATCACCATTAGCTTTATGAACAAGGAATTTTATAAACGTTTTATAACGTTACGACCGTGCTGCTATAAGTGCGTAGACGTCGAAAGAATATGCCGTTTGCATTTTCATCATTTTTGCAAACACTTTAGAAAATTATATTTTATCTTTATCGATTTTTTGTATAAAGGAGTCATTTATAGACACACAATCGACGGAAAGAGGTTTTACCTTAAATAAACAGAAAGACATTTTTAACGTACAAAGGGTGATTGGGAAATGAATGGTCGCAAAGGGTACTGAAATTAAAATCACCGACAGACAGAAGACAAGGTGGCATGCATATTCTGAGCTTTAATAAGGTTAGGATTGAGGTTGGGTGATCATATGGCTTCAAAAAATGCAAACACCGGAGTACCATTCTTAAATACTGTGTAGTAATACCGAAACCTAAAGTGTTAAGCTACTTGATACCTCTTGTCTGTTCTGAATATTATTTTCCTAAGAAATAAGGTATCATTTTAAAACTTTTATTAAGATGTAAAGATGGGTTCGTCACGTGATCAGATACCATAAAGCCCGAATGTTAGATTCGTGCACGCACTAATCCGTATGTACATCCAGAAAAATGTTTAAAAATAATACTTTATTACTTATATTTACATTTGTGACTGTTTCATAACAAATATTTGGGTGCTATAATTTTAAGCCAATGAAATGCTTTATTTTTTTTCAAACCTCAACGGTAAAAATTGAATGTGTTGAACGTCGACCACTCATGACATCAGTGTGAAATTACTACAATCGTTTATGACTTAACAATGAATTTATGATCATATGACAATTAATCCGTTATACATATAGATTTAAATACTCCTCGTTCAAATAGTGTTACGTAAGGGAAAACAATTGCAAATGTAAATATACATAAGATTTATGAAACATATAAATTTTTTTACAGGAGAACATGTCTTCGTTAATTCTGAGTTACCTAGAGGGGGGCCAGGTCACAGAAGCTATGCAAAGATATATCAAAAACCGGAATTGTGCTGCTCAAGGTGAACGATTCACCCGGAAGTATGGTCTTGATCACACGGGAGGCTTGTTCATCATTCTCCTGTCGGCCATGTTTGTGGGGGCGCTCCTACTTATTGTGGAACTATATGTATTTAAGTATCTTGTACCATATCTGCGTAAAAAGCCCAATGACAGCTTGTGGAAAAACAGAAATATTGAATATGTTAATCAGGTAATAATTACGAATAACAAAAATTATATCATTGATATATTTTAATATCAGTTCTACAATATTGATATATTGACTAGTATGTTAATCAGGTCATAATTACAAGTTATACTAGTAATGATATTATATTTTTTCTTAAATAAAATTTTTATATTCAAAATCATTTTCCTCCATTTCTCCACAGAATAGAATATAAAATTATTACCATCATAAAATTGCTGTCATTAAACATTTGCTCTCATTATAAAATTGCTGTCTTCATAATTTTGCTGTCATTATAATTTTGCCGCCATTATAAGTTTGCCACCACTAAAAATTTGCTGTCGTTATAAGTTTGTCGCCATTATAAATTGCTGGCTTTATAGATTTATGCTGCCATTATACGTTCCCTGGAATTATTTGCTCTCATTATAAAATTGCTGGCGTTACAAAATTGCCGGCATTATAAAATTGCTGGCGTTATAGCAGAGGACCGTTCTTCCTTTAGGGTAATTCTGGTTATAACGCGGTATTGGATTACTTTATATCGTATAAATTGGGTTTTATAAATTTGACTTGCATCAAAAGCGTATCGATCCGCCTGACGTTACATATAAAATTTGAAATAATTTTTAAAGTCAGTCATCTTTTTTTCTTTCACAAAATAAATGAGAATTTAATTATAAGAAATGGATTTAATAGTTACCCAATTTATACGGTATAAACTGGGTTGTGGCAGTTTACGCTTTATAAACCACGAAGCGGTTTATGAAAAAAACGTAAACTGTTCCAACCCAGTTTATACTGTATAAATTGGGTAGCTATTGAATTCATCCCTTAATTTGAAAAAAAAAATTGTTTAATAAACATATCATTCCCCGTCAATGTAATGAGCCATAAATCGAGAAAACCTGTTCACTACGATGAAATTGTGAAAATTTCAAATAGTGACCATACTCAAAAGTCCATTTAAACAATAAAATTGTCAGCAGAGCCAACAAGGACCTCAAAAAACAGACGTGGGATCAGGTGCCATGAAGAATAAGCATCTACTTATCGTGTGCCCTTTGACATGATCGGTTAAACGGAAAATCTGTAGACACATCAGTGTGAAAATAATTGTTTAACAATTTGTATGAAAGAAGTCAGTTAACATTCGGCCTAACAACAGCTTGTATTTGCAAACAAGGTCATCGTATCGACAAAATGATAGAATTTGTCAAATATTGACTTTTAACAAGATTGTTGATATTCTGTACCATCAACTTTTTTGTCATTAGCCTGTGTCGTTTTAGAAATTGTTCGTACATAGAACATGCTCTTGCACATCGAATCCATTGGGAGACAAAAACTCCATATGCAAGTGATAATGGTATATGCCACATAAATAAGAGAATAAAAAAATAAACAATAGAAAGATTGAAGTCATCACGTTTATCGTAAAGTTTAGTTTTTAGTTTGCCTTCAGTCTTTCTTTCGTAAAATATCCAAATTTGAAACAGATGTGTCAGACTCTATGTTGTCTTTTATTATGTATTCAGTGGGATGTATCGAATCCATGCAGGAATGTAAATGATTTGAAACTGATTCGTCTCTTAATGTATAGTAAGGATCATGCCTTGTTTGAAAAAAAAAAAAAAAATTGATCTGGCGAGAAAACTATAGTGATGGTTTATATTTGATATTTGCAACTTGCCAAGGTTTTTTTTTACTAATAATTATACAAGAAATATCCAGAATTATGTTTGTATAACCGCATGTCATCTCGTATGATCCTGAACTATTTCTCAGTGTCCTTATTTGGTTGTTATTACCTTTGAAGGTGTGGCTATATTGTCGATTAAAAAGAGGAAAGATTTAAGTAGGTCAGAAGAAGTAAAGGTATGGGAAAAAAATAATCGTAAAATTATAGTCTCTGTGAAGAATTCAGTAGGGTGTTAGTAATTTGAGGTAAAAATATAAGTAATGTGTCCATTATTGGTATACATGTATATAAGGGCGATAATCGAGGTAGAGAACATGATAAATCTTTTGCGCTACCTCTGCGAATTATCACGTGCTCTCTCGATTGTCACTTTATACAGACCATAAGAAACTTATTCTTTAATCAAGTTGGGGTATTTTGATGGGGATATAATCAATCGGTTTCCATTTTTGGATAAAATTCTATTCTATAAACTATTGGAGTTTTCGTCCTTAAAGCATTTTATAGACTATATCATATTGGATAAACCCCTTCTAGATCTGAGAATACAAAGATTTTGCTTTAACTCTTCACTAACTTCCGAATGGGATGCTTAAGGGGAAAGCGATTATAGGATAATTGTGCAAGAATTAGATAATTTTGGGCAATTTAGAAAAAATACAAATTATATTTAATCGCAATTGTCTGAAATCGTATTCTTAGGTTTACAGAATATTAAAAGCTGGTAAATGTATCTATTTCTTTGTTTTGGCAGTGAAATGACCACATATAACAAATCATTTTTTTCCTTTGCTCTTGTTTCAAAAGCCCGACTTATCGAATTGTAAACAGTGTTTTCTCAACAGCATTTTAAAATGTTCATGTGCTATTAATAAAAAACCAGTTACAACTGACTTTCCTTTCTACAGAGACTGTACCGCACATTAATGAGTGAGCAGTTAGTATCTCCACAACAAACAGCACAGGAGATGATCAGAATCGTCAGAGAGAGACGATTCGACAGGCTCTTCCTCAAAAATGAACTCCGAGATCAGGTAGGTCTACTTAGATGGAAATACCTCCGGCATTTTTTACCTAGATATTTTTTACTACTCTTGTGGATTCATTTTATGACGGAAAATTTATTTGGATCTAGATTTCTTTCAAAATAATTATTTTCACTCCTTGAGATTGCTTAATTTTTAGCTTACATGTATGTAAGCCAGTATGAGTAAGCTTTCCTGTTTTGTTCAACATTTAGCCTATGTGAACTATTGTATTAGAGTTAGCTTTCTTAACGTAAGTGGCGACCGTCTAACATAAGACGTTATTCTCTGTGTCCTCTTGGAACTTTATTAAATTTTACTTGGTATGCACGATCCTTGTAAAAAAAAGGACATTTAGAAGAAATACAATGAGTCAAAGATGAAGATTTGAACGTCGTCCACCTTCACACTTCTTGTCAAACATGATGCTACTTTTGCATAAGCATTTTCAGTTTAATTAAACATAAGTAAGTATAGCTCACCTCAACGAATGTTACCTTAAAGCAAGGCAAAGTCTCTCACTGAACAAATATTTTGGTAGTGTGTAATATACAGCATTTAAATTATGCAAGTTTGTTCTGGGGAGGATTTTTGTTACTTTGGAATGGGACTCCATAAACTTTTTCTGTTTAATCGACTGGAAAATTTAAGTAGGATTCAGCATTCAAACCAAGTCTGGTAGTGTGCATCCTACGGAAGCCGGTTGGTGCCAGGTAGAAAAAATATTTTATCTGGCGGCCGCCAGATAACTTTCTGGCGGCCGCCAAATAATTATCTGGCGGCCGCCGCATAAATAACTGGCGGCCGCCAGAAACTTATCTGGCGGCCGCCAAATAATTTTCTGGCGGCCGCCAGATAACTTATCTGGCGGCCGCCAGAAAGTTATTTGGCGGCCGCCAGAAATTATCTGGCGGCCGCCAAATAATTATCTGGCGGCCGCCAGATAGCTTATCTGGCGGCCGCCAGAAAGTTATCTGGCGGCCGCCAAATATTTATCTGGCGGCCGCCAGAAAATTATTTGGCGGCCGCCAGATAGGTTTCTGGCGGCCGCCAGATAAAATATTTTTCTACCTGGCACCTACCGGCTTCCGTAGCATCCCTATAGAATATCATCCAGACTAATTTGGTCAGCGCAGAATTTATAGTAACCAGGGAATGAACTTCTTCAAAAACTTTATTCTTGTCATTCATCCAGAAAGTAGTTCAGATCCAGAATCCGAAGTTCGGTTGGCTGAAAATGTAGTATCTGAACTTGAATGTATATGTATTATCCATGCAGCTCTGATCAATAAAGGGGAATAGAAATACTTGGAGAGAACTGTAACCTGGGACGTAGATGCCGAAGGTATTACATAAGCTCATCCAATTTCGTTGAGATGAGCTTCAAACTTCAGAAGTCTATTTAGGACCTATTTTTTTAAATTCGATATAACGAATTGTCGAATTCGTTAACAGTAGGTTGTTGATGATATATTTTTGAATTCATTTTAATAAATCTGTTATGAATTTGTTTAATTCTTTGCTCTGCTCCTAACATTTCCTATATCAAATTAAATTTGAATTAACGAATTCATAATATTACATTGTTCAAATCATTTTTACAGAATAAAAGGTAATTTTTTTCCAAGAAACTTTATAAATCTTTTTTAGAAAACAAAATATAACGTATCATATTGAAATAGTGTACAAATGTAGTAGTTGCGCATTCAGCCACTACAATTAAAATGTTTATACTTTGCGTTGTGTTTTTTAAAGTTGTTTTACATAAAGTATTTAACTCTTTAGGTATTTTTCAGGTAAGTTTGAGTCCGCCTAGAGTGAGGCTAGTAATTAAATGATAAATAGATAAATAAAGTTTTAAATTTTAATAAAGTTGAAGTAACTTGAACAAATGTATGATATATACCAAATAACAAAATAATAATCAGGGGGAATAAATGTGGCTTCGGAGAAATATGACTAAATAAGAAAAATAAGAAATAATCATCAAAATTTTAAGGGAAAAGAGGGTGAGGTACCTCCTGATTTTACCTGTTTGCCTCAGCAGAAGTTGTGCTCGGGTTTAAAAACCGTTCTTTACAAAAGAATGAAAGTAAAAGTTAGCCTTTTGTGATTCGATATTAAATTTAGAAGAAATCAATGAAAAGTTTTGTAATGAAATACATTTGAAAACAGCTCTCTTCCAGTTTATAAAGTAAATCCGTAGACAATTAATTGTGTAAATATTGGGTTAACAATTAGTATGAAAGACGTCAGTCAGCCTTCGACTTAATGATAGATTGCTGACAAGGTCATTTTATCAACCAAAGAACTTGCGAAATGTTGACTTCAAACGAGACTATTGATACCCTTGTTTAATCAATTATTTGGCAATAGTTTGATATCCTCGTTTAATCAATTATTTGTCAGTAGAATGCCTCGTTTTAGAAAGTGTTCGTATGTAGAGCATGTTCTTAATATATACCAATACTACCACGCAAGATTTTGATTCATGTATTGTTTAATTCCTGAAGGTCAACGTTACGATTGGCAAATTTTATTTACTGTAGATTGATTGATCGTATTTTTGTTTTACGACCCATTCGAGAATTTTCCCCTCATATAGAAACGCCACCAGATACCGGTGAAGGGCTATAAATTTAGACCTATACTCAGCACTCAGGGCCATTGAGCAGTGAGGGTTCTTTATCGTGTCAATGCCTGCCGTGACACGGGAACCTCGGTTTTTAAATTCTCATCCGAAAGACCAATAGATTTTTTTTCTATTGCTGGGTGCTTGGAAAAGGAAGTGTAATTTCCCATATTTATGTTTTAGATTTGAAGCGGCGAACGAGAATCGAACTCAGGCCTTTTGATCACGAAGCGAACGCCCTACCACTAGGCTACCGTGACCGGTTGTTTACTGTAGATGAATAGTTCGAAGAGTAGTTCACTTTAAGGATTTCATTTCAAGTCACAACTATGTGTGTGTAACAGCTGTATGATTCATGTTAGCAATTGCCCACCGGCCGACTTTGATTTTTACCAACTTTGTAAACTGGAAGAAATTATTTAAGAATGGGAAAGATAAACTTTCATACCATCAAACATTTCTGTACTTTCTCAAATCAAACAGTGCTTGTGTGAAATTTATGAATATTCATGTAATACACATCTGTAAACTATAAACGTATTTTAAATTAACGTACAAAAACAGATATTACCTTTTTCAAAATAAATCCGTATCATATAATCAATATTTTTATTGCTCGTACAGTTTACTAACAAAATAGGCAACAGCTGACTATGATTATATTATTGTTGAGAGTTAGAAATGCAGATCGGTACTGCAATTTGCCGGCGAAACATCAGCTGATACAAAAACCAGTGTCACAAGTTTTCATAAAGCTAAAGATTCAGACGAGTTTTGTATTTGACCTTTAAAATACAGTCATCATCCTTAATGTGCGTGTTATCATTATTAAGGCATGAATTGGCGTATAGCAATGAATACATAAACGATGCATTGCGTGAATGACATTTTTCCTGTAATCATTATTTCTCTCACAGGGGAAAATACAAAAGAAGGGAATTCCAAAGGGTCTTAGACTTATAGATATCACAGACAACTTGATAAGGTGAGTTTAAGTCAAACTGTTCAATAAATTAGAAAAGTTCACAGAAATCTTTTTCGCTTCTTGAAATTTGAAGAAATTCCTAGAAATAAACGTATGTTTTATTTATTGCTTTTATGCAGATCGAAAAAAGCTGAATCAGAAATATTCGCTACATCTTCCTCCAGTAATTTGTATTCCATCAATGAACAGGAATACGATGACGACTCACTCAGTGACGTCAGTGATTACGTAACGGGGGACGAACAGGATATGCAGATTTCATTCGAGGATATGAAGGACACGGTAATAGACAGATCAGAAGTGCCAATTAACAATCAAAGACAAGCTCGGCAGTCTTGTTCAGAGGCAACTCGAATGCAGTCACTGAAGGTCACCCCAAGTCAGTATGTACGTTGTAAGCAGTCTCGAGTTCGTTACTGTTCTGATTCCAATTTGGGAGGATCACATTCGAGTTCATCATACAGACGAAATAAATCATGTCCTAATTTTCAAAAACATCCAACTAAAGACGAAAAGAAACAGAAGATGTATGAAATGGATGAGATTGAAATGTTAGAAATAGCAGCGCGACCTGATAAAACAAAACTTATTCGCAAATCGAAGAAGGCCAATATCGGCCGGGCATTCACATTCTACGGGAAATCTCTGAAAGACAATCGACTGAAATCGTCCATCCGGAGTCATGCCATGGCAACACGCCGACATTCAGAGTCCGCATTTGACGACTGCGCAGTAGATGCCCTCTCAAAAGAAGACCTGATGGTTTTGTGGAAAAAATCAGAGATTGAGTTACAAACCAGCCTAAACAGAGTTACACAGGAAAATACCCATTTAAAGCGGCTTCTCCGGGTCGTAGAAGTGTCGGAGAACGTACCTGGGGAAGAGGTATCGAAGGGAGAAGCTGTCCACATCACTGCAACTCCACTGTGAAATCTCAAATCATAGTCTGTAGTTACTTCATAATGAACAACTGTTATTATACCTACTTGAAACTCCACCAGTATCATGTTGTCGTATTAGCAATGACACGGATCCCAATCATGATGATACTATGGGAAGTTAAGATGTTTTCGAAGCATTTTATTCGTGCATTTCGAAACGTTTCATTCAAACCTGTGATTCGTTAGTTTTGTTATTAAATATGCACATCGTTTGTACATGTGATTCAGTAGTTCAGTTATTATATATGCATATCGTTTGTTCATATATTTCATCTCTCTCTTACCCAAAGATACAGGATTGATCTACATGATATATGCAAAATAGTTCTTTATCAGATAAAATGATCACCTAGGTATATAAATTTGGATCAACTGTAGTGTTGTTATTGTTAAATTAATTGCAATAAACATGCTGATATTTGTTTTTCTCCTTTACATTAAAATGTTTCTATAGAATTGTTATAACGTTGTTTTCACCATTGTGAGAGATTCTCTGACTAGTTGGATTCTAGTTTGTTAAAATTTATTTTTTGATTTCAGAAAAAATTTCTATGTCACGAGAGAAAAAATAATATTTGTTGCGATTTCAGGATAATTATATAGACTAAACCTAAAGCTCGATTTTCAATTTTGATATTGTACCAACAAGTATAAACATCCCCGACCAACTTTTCAAGTGAAGTCTTCGGCAGATTAAAGCATAATGACTCAGATGGGAGATATCTCGAAAAGAAACCGTTTGACTTTTTTTTTTTAAATTCTCATCTCAAATTTTTCCGTATGGGATTTTTAATTGTGATGAATAAATATTGATCACAAACATAATTTTATCAGTGGATTTATTTGTTGTTCACCTAAGTAATATTTAATTGACACAAATTAACAAAGTATAATGAGATTGAGCAACATTTTAGGGACGACGGTCGAATTATTGATCTCTCCTTGAACGCTTTCTCTCTTTTGCTTCTCTTTTGGATCGCCCTTGTAATTTTGCAAGAGTATTTTTGAGTTCAATATTTTCTCTAAGTGTATTCTTAAGTAAATAGTTCAGTTGTAATTCTGAAGATTTCCACAACTGCAGCAATTCCTTTTTGCTGAGGTGATTGACATTTGGAGATTGCGCAGTAGGTGTATTACATGCACGCGCAGCATGTTCCCTTATCTTATTGAGATCTGGTTGTGAACTTTGCATAGAATGTAAACGATAATTTTCAATATCATTATAAAGCTTCAAGTTTTCTTCACTTTCTTTCCAATGTAACAAACCTGTCTCTTCGTCAACATTGTCACCTCGTTGACCGTCATCTTCATAAAAACCATTTATTTCGTTTGCAGACGTAGCAACCTGTCTACCGAAATCTGATGTAGTTTGCCCCGAAAATGAAGAAGATACTTCACATAAAGTTTCCCCCTTTCCCCCACCATAACAAGCACCTAATGTTTCATGCTTGCACGTATCACAGCAACAGCTTGATTCACTTTGATGAAGAGAACTGAAAGTTCCGTCAAAGTGTCTTTCATAATATGATCCAGTATCGCTGTTTTCTGGCATTTCTATTGGTTGAGACTCGCCTGTCACATGTTTCCCGGGAACATACCACATATTATACTTGCTATCAGAAGTTCCAATATCACATGTGTTCCCAAGACCGCTCAGAGTTCTCGTATCCTCTGCCTCGCTCTCGCTGCACTCTTCGTTGCTGTCATCGTAATTTCTCACCGAGTCCACTTTTGGCAGGGAGCTCTGGCATTGAGATCTCAGGGCCTCGAGATTGACACAGTTGCTGAGATTGCGGAGTGAGAGACGTTTGATATCCACAGGTTCATTTGGCGAGTCATCGTTGAGCAGACTAGTGGATTTCATATCGCTTACCCTGCAACAGACATTCAAAATATGAAGACTCCATACCTTTCCTCTAAAGTTAGATAATATTGTTAAAATATCATTACCACTTTGCTTTTTCTACGATGTCCAGGAAGTTTCGGTTAATTCTCTTAGTTTTCGCCAAATCGGCCAGCTTGTTTTTCTGAGAAGGAAAGAACCACATTGATTAATAGAAGAAACACGACATTATGTTTCTGTTTGTTTGTATTGTTTTGTTTTGGGGTTTTTTTTTTTTTTTGCTTGTTTGTTTTGCTTTTTGAATACATGACCTATTAAAAAATTGTACAATCACTCAATAACATCATCTCTTAAATGTGCAGGATTTGCGTACTCTGATAGTGCTCTTCATGAATAGTTTGGAAAAGTCTCCCTTTTTCACGATTCCTAACATCTCCTTGGCGGACTCTTGGGCGGAAATTAAAACGGCACTGTTGATGCTTCGATGTAATCGCTGTAAAGTAAACATATACAAACCAAAATTTTTCATTTGTAATCATCGCTTTCTAACAATTACAAAGAAAATAATTCTAGTTCATTTATCAATTAGCTAAAGAGTGTGTGGCTTTTGGTCTTCTCCGTGTATTAATCATTTGTGAAAACTTCGGGCTTCAATTGCATGAATCACTTGGCATTTTTCCATTATATAAACTTGGAAATTGTGAAGTGTGGTCAAACCTGACTAAAGAACATGACACTGAGGCTTTTCCAGAAACTGTCGACTGGTCGTCTGCGACATATGGGCAGAAGGAATTTAAAGACAAGGTGCTCCACTAGAACAAGAAGTATGCAGCAGACGATAGCAATAGAGAGGAGCGCAAAAAGTCCACTGTGATGGTAAACGTTCAAACTGAACCTCTGCTCGTTAATTCCCTGGTTGAAACATTTCTCCTCGTCGAAATGAATATCGATTAAATTTTCCAAGTAGCCAGTATCATGGTAATGCTGGATTTTCTTGGACACTGGTTTCTTAAATATTAGCCAGAAATATAAATCACAGCAATTCAAAGCTATATAAGAATAAATTGACTTTTTAGATATCTGTAAAAATGAATTAAGAATGAGGAAGATATATGTGTATGACAAGGATGATAATAATGACTTTGAATGTTAATTACCTGAAGTGGAGAACCTTTGGGAAATCCTATCCCATACTCATCCTCACCGAACGATTGTGGGACAATATAAAGATTGCAATTCGGATCCAGCTTTACACGTGCATAGTCCAGTATCGGATAGTCACCCAGATAGGCGTCAATTTGACCATTTCTACAACAACAGTTTGATATGCTACAAGCACAAATATTTGATATTCAGTAAGTAGTTTGTCGATTTTACCTTTTCTATCTCTACAGAAAGAGAAGCATATGATACTAATAACATAGACCAATAGTGAATATTTATCTAGAAAGGTAAATTGTCGAAGAGATAGGCGTCATTTTCACCCAGTCAGCCGTCAATTCTACCATTTCTATCACAACAGAAAGAGAAGCATAGGATACTAGAAACATGGCTCAGTTTGGATAGTCATCCAAGTAGGCATCAATTTTTAGCATTTTTACAACATAAGAATAAAAAGCAGAGGTTACTTAAACAAAGTCCATGGAGTGTCACTCAGACGGTTGTCATTTTTACATTTCTACAACGTGAACAACAGAATGCAAAACACAGAGTACAAGTAGAATAGTCCATAAAAAATCACCCAGATAGGTGTCATTTTCCATTCCACAACAACAGGATGAGAAGTACAATGTACTAGCAGCAAAATCCATGGAAAATCACCCAGATGGGCATCAATTTAACGATTTGCACAACATCAGAAAGAAAACTACAATGTATCAGTAACAAAGTCGATGGAAAGTCAACAAGATAAACGTCAATTTTACCATTTCTACCACAGCAAAATTAAAAGCAAAAAGCTCCAGTTGGTCAGTATTTGATAGTCATATTTAAAACAAAGTCCATGAATAGTCACACAGACTTGTCAAGTTTATAATTTCTACAAGAACAGAATACAAAAACATAGGGTACTACTAACATAGTCCATGTAAAGTCACGCAGATAGGTGCCATTTTCCAGTTCTACAACAAACGGGATAAGAATCACGGAGTACTAGTAAGATACCGAATTTTTTCAATACGTGAGGGTCAATATTCGTGGGGCAAGCAAAATTTAACTGGTTTCCGGAAATGTAATTTCCTGGGTAACTCATGTATGAAAGAGATTCAATGAACGGATACTTTGATAATTCATCGTTCATTGGGGATGCAAATTCGTAGGTAAGGATGACCAACAAAATCCACGAATATTGGCCCTATATCAACAGTATTCAATGGATAGTCACCCAGATAGGCTTCAATTTAATGATTTTTACAACGGAGGAATAAGAAGCACAGGGTACAAGTAACATAGTCCAGTATTGGATAGTCTCCCAGATAGGCGTCAATTTTACCATTTTACTACAGCAAAATGAGAAGCACAAAGTTCGATTAACACAGTCCAGTACTGGTTAGTTTCCCAGAGAGGCATTTTATAAATTCTACTTCATCAGAAGAGAATCAACTAAAGAGTGTATTAATAAACATTGCTGATACCCACAAGGGTATCTCATCGGTATGCATACCTACATCAACATATTAATGGCATCGTTCGTTGTCGGGACGAGATGATTCTGGCTCCTGATGTACAGCGATTTACTGAGGTTACTAGTCAGAGACTCCACGGCGCTTCCCCCAAGAACTCCCACTCTAATTTCCATCAGCTATATTAATATTAGTATAACAAGATTATTGGTTCAATATGTTTGAAAGCATAATCTGAATTTCGATGGTCTGTATAAAGGATTTGTTTAGAGAATTTTGATATTCGTTTCTCCCTTAATTGTTTGGTAAATACATGTCATCTAAATCCATTACAATTACTAAAGGTCACGCCTCGTCCTCTACAAGGGATTGAGACAAATTGCCTTAAGCTGTATGTCTGCTTGTGACAAATTTTGTTTTGACCAAAAATTACCTACCCGTAAATAAATTGATTCAATCTAACCTACAAATATATGGGGGTTTTTTCTTAATAAGTATCATTATCCAAATCCTGGTGTGTAAGGTCCATGTCACGAAATGAGCATCAAATTCAAACCCAGTGTGTTGTTGCCCATGACATGAGCAATCTATTTTTCACAAAAGTTTTTTTTCTGAGGGCCAAAGTCAGAGGGGAATGAAAAGTTGAAAATAAAGAAAAAACTGTGGAGGCAAAAACCTTGTATTTATTGTTTAGAATACTTCATATTGATTATTGTTAACTATAACATTCTTTTTTAAATAGAATATCATTAATGTCAGAAAAACAGATTTTGTTCTGGAAGGCAGATTCAATTTTGACACGAGAAATGAAATATGAAGGTAATTAAGCTCTCAATGTCCGAAGTAACAATACAAATTGTGAGCCGAACAAACACGGACGTCTGAAAACATCAGGTGAGATCAGATGCCATGGAGGAGTAAGCATCCCCAGACGATTGATCACATCCGTTGTAACCCCTTTGTCAAGATCGGGTAAACGGAGAAATTTGTAGTCAATTCAGCATGAAAACATAATTTGTTTTAAACATGTTAGTCAAAATTCGATCTTACGATAGATTTCCAAAGAAGACCATTGTATATACGATAGGATTTGCAAAATATTGACTTTAAGCAAGAGCGTAGATACTCTACTAATTACTTGTAAGTAGTCTGCCTCATTTAAGAAATTGTTGTTCTTGCGCATCGAATCAACTGGAAGACTATAAACCCAATATTCGGATGATAATGGTATATCGTAAGATAAATACTATGAAATCACTTATTTTCTTTGGAGTTTAATTTTCGTTGTTTTCGTGGTATGAGAGATCCACAAATTCATGTCCCAAACAATCGTAAACTTACCTTGTCATTAGTCATTTACAAAATTATTTTGTTAAAAACATTCTGATTGTACACACTAGTACTCAGAAGTTGATATTAAACAGATGCTTGAGTTTCTGATTGAAAATATCTATGTAGTTTTTGGAGATCAAGTCTTCCAACAATCTGTCGGAATTCCAATGCTAATCGCGCCCCGTTATTAGCAGACCTATTTTGTATTCATATGGAGCAGAATTTTTTCAGAAACTTTTACATGAAAAGAAGTCTCTTGCTGTGGTCTTCATTCAACATTTAGATATATCGACGACGTTTTATCAATTAACAATATTCATTTCCATTTCTACGTTGATTCAATATATCCCTCTGAACTCGAAATAAAGATACCACATAGTCTGAAACACATTTGGATATTTTACAAGAAAAAGACTTTAATGGTAACCTAAGAACAAAACTTTATGATAGACGTTATGACTTCAACTTTTTTATTATGAACTTCCCTTATTTATGTAGCAATAAACCCTTATCACCTGCACATGGAGTTTTGTCTCCCAGTTGATTCGTTAAGCAAGAGCAATTTCGAAAACAAGGCAAGCTATAGACAAACAAGTTGATGAGACAAGGATATGAGCGGTCTCGTTTAGTCAACATTTCGCAAGTTTTATGCTCGATTCAATGACCTAGTCAGCAAATATAATCAATCATTAAGTCGAATGCTGACTGACGTTTTTCTTATGAATTGTTAGGTCATTATTCATACAATGAATTTCCTATTGTTTTAAATTCTAAATTTGAATTGTTTCAATGGACTTTTGAGCTTGTTTTCTGTTAGTTATCTCCATATTTCATTGGAAGTCATCACGTTCATCAAACGTTTAGTTGTCTGCTATCAATGTCTTTTTCTAGTCAAATATGAAGATATGCAGCAGATGTGTAAGACTCCGTGCGTGGTGACTTTTATTTAGTTCAATGTCGAATCAACGTGTGTAATTTTAGAAAAAATCAAAAAAAAAAAAAAGTCTTCGTTGCTTTTGTTTTATTTCTAAATTTACCACAGAGTGTCCTTGCAATAAACAACGTGCAAATAAATCAGCTATTCTCATCTGAATGACTAGTATATTGAAAGCCATGAATACCATCCAATCAAATCCAGTTTGTTACCTGTAAAATGGATGCCGAAGTTTTGAAATCTTTAAATAAGCAGAAATCTATATTGAGGATGACGTTTGGTATGAAAAACCACTTGTTGTTTATTGTAGACACATGATTGGGGTGCTGTTTTTCATTGGTCGATGAATTAATTTTCACGCTAGTAGCTGTTGAGTATTTTTGGAAAAAATCGGAAAAAAATCCCTAAAAAATTTGCACCAATTTTTTTTTCCTTCGCAAAATATAAAGTAATAAATGCGCCTGGTGGGCAAGGAGGGGCATTCGACGAAACGGTAGAGAAATGGGAAGAATATACATCTAGACTTATTCTTCCAACAATCTGATTAAAATCAGATCCTTTGATCCGCTCACATAGATCGCTACATAAGGATCTGAAGAAACTCCATTCAATGTCATCTCCTGGTGATCTTTCTAACAGAAATATTCATAAAAATTTTAACCAATCAGAGAGCTCGTACTTAATCGACATTCGGGAAAATGAATGTAGAAGTGAAAGTAGCTATGGAGAAGATCTTATCGTTTCGTACAAAACAAAGAGCTAAAAAACAAGGCAAAAGCAAATACTAAATATATTTCTGTACAGAAAAGACTGTGGTCGTTCTTTTGACAGGCTCCAGAAACCAAGTCACGATTTTCCGTTCGTGTATCATCAGGGCTTTCACTTCTGTAACTGAATTCCGAGATACTTCTAAATTCTTTGAAGCAAACGTTTGATTGGATAATTGTAAGGTCACCAGGAGATGATCCTGAATGGGATTTCTTCAGATCCTTGTGTAGTGATCTATGTGAGCGGATCAAAGGATCTGATTTTAATCAGATTGGCTAACGGAGTTGCCGAAGGACTACAAGTCGATTGTGTTTTTGGTGCAAAAACTTATGGCTTACTTAAGAATATTGTGTCGACAGCCAAGTCTGCTGAGCTTACATGGAGAAAAAGATACAGCGCAACTCAACAAGCATTGAAATCCGATGCCCTCTACTACTACCGAACGCATTGTTTCAACAAACGCGATCAGCGTGCAAATAAGAATGTAATGATTTATGTAGCTGAAATCCGGAAATAGTGAACGATACCCTGAGGGATGCTGTGAAAACACTCATTTTCGTGGGGGTTTAATTTTTGTTGATTTCAAGGTATGAAGAGACCACGAATATATGTCCACCATAAAATGTAATTTTTCACTTATATTACTACTCAGCAATTCTTCATCCACGAAATGAAATCCCCATGAACCCATTTTTTTCAAACCACGAATTTCTGACCCCATGAAAATATGTGATTTTACAGTAGACTGGCCCGTGAGATAAATAATGAAACCATACATAAGTTACTTGCAGAAGCTGCTCTTACCTAAGATAATGCGATTAAAACTGCACGTGCGATGGAAACGGCTGGAAGGGGTGCAGAGGAATTACGAGAACAGTGCAATACGTCTTCATCAGTGACCAAGTTATCTAAACATAGGGGACCTCTCAACAATACACGTTCAAAACAGAAACCAGCCCCAAAACTTGTAAAAAACAAACGTCATGGATGTTGCAGATGTGATGGAAATCACAGCAGATAAATATAAACATATTTCAACAGTGTAAGTTCTGTCATAAGAATTGAGAATCTCGAAAGCGTGTGTATAAAGAGATCCAAAGAGTCGACTAAGGTACATTACTTTGATAATTGTGATTCAGACTATGATAAACAAGAACATATAGTGAACAAGAACTGTATCACTTGTGGAGTATACTGTGTGTGTAAACGCTCTAATTCTAGCTCGGGCCAATTATAATGCAATCACATGTATCCAGAAAATGTATTCCGATGAAGTGGACTGGTTTAGCAGTTTCTCTGATATCAGTCAACCCTGAAAAGATACCATCTCATAGACTGTGAAGTACTGAAGTTCGATGCTTTAAGACATACTCTGGGGAACAGATACGTTCACTTGGAAAGGTAAATGTTGACGTAAGCTTGATCAACGGTCAGCAAACCTGGAACCCATCATTGTGCGTCAACAAAGACCGGCATTACTTGATCGTGACTAGCTGAAATTTCTTCGTTTGGACTGGCATGAAATCAAGTGAATTCGGAAAGTTGATTCTACCTTATGTGAATCTCAGGTACAGGAACTCGGCGTGTTTTTGAAGCCGGAATCGGTAAACTGAAAAATTTCACAGAAAGACTACAAGGGAATGTTGAACCACAGTTCAGAAAGGCACATGAAGTACTCTACTCAATTTGTCCCAGGATGGAGGAATAGATCGAACGACTGACTCGAGAAGAGATCATTACACCTGTAGAGTTGTGACTGGACGACGCCAACCGTGCCTGTTCTAAAATAAAACGATAAAGTGCAAATCCAGGGGGACTACAAAGTAACACTAAATCCTGTGATGAAGGTTGTACAGTACTCCTTACCCAATAATACTGACATTTTCAGAGCACTATCTGGAGGAAAGAAATTTACAAAGTAGATCTAACTTAGCCTTATCTACAATGTAGATGGTAGAGCAGTCGAAGGACTTGCTTGCAATCACTAAGCACAATGCGTTATTTCGCTTCAATAGATTACCCTTTTGTAAAGCTTCTGCCCCTTCAATATGGCAGAGTGCCATGGATCAGATCCTGATCGGCATTCCTAAAATAATTAGCATATTGGATGATATGGTCATCTTTGGAGAGAATGATGATGACACT